CCTCAGCCCCAGCGGCAGCCCCCGCAGCCGAAGGAGTGGCCGCGCCCGCCGCAGGGAGGGAGGAGCATCTGGGGAGGCTCCAAGTTGGCGGAGCCGCTGGGACCCCCGGACTCTCCAGCGGCCGCTCCGGGAAGGGCTGAGAGGCGAGCAGGGGAGGGGGCGCTGCCCAGCCCCGAGCCCCGACCCCCTGCCCGCCGCGGCACACCATGCGCGCCGAGGCGGCGTGACCGGCTCCTCCCGCAGCCACCCCGCAGCCTGGCCCGGCGCTCGCGCCGGTCACACCGAGAGGCGCCCGGGAGCTATGAGCCATGAAGCCGCCCGGCAGCAGCTCCCGGCGGCCGCCCCTGGAGGGTTACAGCCTTTCCCGAGCCTCCAGCGGTCCCCGCGGCGGCCCCGCCGGCCCGCCGCCTGCCCGCGCCCCGGCCCGCGCGCCGCCTGGCCGCCTGCTCCTCGTCCTTCTCCTGCTGCTTCCACTCGTCGCCTCGTCCCGGCCCCGCGCTCGCGGGGCTACTGCACCCAGCGGTGGGTATGGCCCCGGTGCCCTTTGCATTGCCTTGCCCGCGGGGCCCTGCACTGGAAAGCGAAGGGCACGCGGGTCCGTGTGCCCCGGACACGTCTCGGGCTCGGCCTGGCCGAGCCTACCTGCCTACCTCTCCACCTCTCTCATTCGCAAACCCCCATTAATTCCAGTTCACTTTTTGAAGTCCGTTTCTGTCGCATTCACCAAAAGCCCATTCCAATGAATGTTGGTTCCACTGGAAGGTATTTAGTGGATGCGGGGTCTCAACGATCTCTGTGCAACTTGGCTGAGGGGGAACCGGCGAACGGGAAATGCAGCGAGGGAGCAAGTTACTTCCTGGGTGGTGGAGCCTGAACGTGAATGCGGGAGTGTGTAATGATAATAGCGGTGCTGTGTTGTTGCCTCTAATTGCCTGCTGGGTTTATTCACAGTTGGTGGAATTAAAATGGGGGAGGGAAACTTCATGGATATAGATCTTTGGTTTGTAATTTCTCACAATGCTTGTCATGACTGTGAAAAATTAAGGTAATATAATGTTCAGTATATTGATGATTGGAAACTAGTGAAAGCAGAAAGGGGACCTGGCAGGAAAATAAAAAGAAATTGGAAAGCTGCCAGCATCTCTCTATGTCAAAGGATTTTTGCTCATCTCAAAGTTAATAGAAAAGGAAATTGTCTATTTTGTTAAATGAATCAATTAATAATCCCCACCCATGAATTCAGTGCTCAGAGTTATTTTAGGAGAGTTCTTAGCTCTCAGATGGGATACTTCTAGTCAGAGTCCCATTGAGCTTCTGTAGACTCAGAGAAGGGGTGGAGATGAGGCTCAGAACCTCTCATGTTCATTTAATGACTCTTCCTTTAATTCCATTCTGACCCCCACTGCCATACTTAGAAGTAGAGATTTGAGATTGGTTAGAAATGTACATATAAAACATACATCAAAATAAACAGTGCATTATTGATAAGCTTTACTGGCTGTTAACCTATCCAGGCCATTTAATTGTTGCAGTAACTTGCTTAACCTGTCTTTACTTTTTACCTGCTTATAAGAAAACTTTGCTTTCCTGATTCATGGAAAAATGCATTTTAGTACATATCTATTTATAGGATATATGTGTGCATATTTGTGTATGTTTGTGTCCTCTTCTTCCCCTAGCTCCGCATTGGAATGAAACTGCAGAGAAAAATTTGGGAGTCCTGGCAAATGAAGACAACACATTGCAACAGAATAGCAGCAGCAATATCAGTTACAGCAATGCAATGCAGAGAGAAATCACACTGCCTTCAAGACTCGTGTATTACATCAACCAAGACTCGGAGAGCCCTTACCATGTGCTTGACACAAAGGCAAGACACCAGCAAAAACATAACAAGGTAGGCAGGGGGCTGGCTATGCAAAGGTAGCTGCCGGGAAGTTTTTCACTGACTTGGTTTTCTGCCAGGATCTGATTTCACAAATTTTACCGAAGCATTTTATTAGGAAATCAATTAATATTATGATAGGGGAGAAAGTGGAGGGAATTAACCTGGGATCTACTGGGATAGCATTGTTGTTTGTTTCTCCTGTCTGACTTTAAACTGGAATTTGAATTTTCATGTGGCCTTACAAGTTTCATAGTTGAAATGTGTTCCATGTATCTTTCAGGTGTATTGGTCACTGAGCAATAGTTTGATGAATATGTTTATGGTCCTGACTTACATCTGTGAGGCTTTTTCTAAGAGTTCATTCTACCTCCCATAATGAAAACTGCTTTCGATCTGCACATAGAAGATTGCTCTAAGAGGCCGTTCGTTTGGCTACAGAGTCCTCATCAGTCTTTCACTTAGAAATTGAGCATTTAAATTTAAACAGTACCTTTAATCAAATAACAGGAAAAAAAATGCTTTTCTTCTGTTATATTTTCAGTAGGTAAACCATTTGACATTTTAGAAAATTATAGTAAATATAAACAAACTATTTATAGGATACAGGGATCAATTTTGGTCGCCATAATCCTTCAAGACTTTATCTGAATTTACTGTAGGAAGGTTCTTTGCTTTCAGGTTGTTCAGATTTTTAACTGATTTTTAAGAAGGCATTCAGTGGAAGATGGAGGTGCTTAATATTCAAAGAATTTAAGGGCTCTTTTCTTCTTGTTTACTTTTTTTTTTGAGTTAACTTTATTTTTGACCCCAAGCAGATTTATGGGTTATCAGTTATCAGTGCCTCGGTTCTTTATCAGGAGCAGAATATAGAGTCTGTATGTCAAATATTTTGCTTTGGACAATACTTGTTCAGTTGAGAAGAGTAGTTACTGTCTAAATTTCTAGAATTTAAGAGAAGTAGCTGTGGTTTAACATCGTCTTCATTAGTTTTCTAAAATCTAGGTAAGTGGTAAGAGTAGTTATCCCCCTTTTACAAAGGCAGAGTGAGGAATTGAAAGTTTATAGGTGACTTTCCCAATATTGTAAAACAGAGAGTACAAAATTCAGGAGCCCTGAATACCTAATATTTACTATTTTTTAAACATTTCTGGGAAAAGGCTTTCTTCATACTGAATATTATTGGGGAAGTTAGCTTTGTTTTGCAGTTTTGTGAATGGCTGCTACCCACCTGGGCAGAGAAGAATTTCCCGTTTGCTCCTAGGTAACTTAATGGATTGGCTCCTGGGCCCTGCTCGTCAATAGGAGGGTGGGTGGTGCTTTAAGGAAGAAGAATCAAAGGTCCTCCTGATCTAGCACTGAGGTCCAGTTTTCTTTTCTGACTAATGAGACCTATGGCCAAGTGGCAAGTTCTCAAACTCCAGCACCTTTGTGTAGGGTGCTATGGGAAGAACAAAAATGAAATAAAACTGCCTCAAAGCCTATTTTAAAGAATGCTCAAGTTTTTCTGAGCTGAGAGTTGAAAAACACTTCAGTGGAACTTTTGTATAATTTAGATGTTGGAGGCTGTGACTAATACCTGTCTTCCTCTAGCCATACGTGCTTGTTTGGTGGGACATGTTTGGAGCACAGTATATGTGAATTTCTGTGACAATAAGTGTGTTAAAATTTCACCCAGCACTCTTACAGAGGAATAGATTTCTCACTGTGGAACATATGCTTGTGTTTGGAATGATTTGACCTCTCTACTTCCTCTCCCCATGGTGGTTGGGTTTCTTTTCTCTTCAAAAAAAAAAAAGAAGGCCTACACAGAAATTATGTTTGAAAGCACTTTTCTTCTTATTGGTTTAATTTAGCAAACATTTGTTGCACATTTCTCATGTGCAAAGTAGTATGCCAAAGATTCAGTGATAAGAGATAAGGGATACAGGATGAATAAAACATGGTCTGTCCTCTAGGAGACACAAAAATGAGATAAGCAAGATTCACAGGTATGAACAGTGTTCTTACATGGTGGGTTCTGTGAAAATTCTCCTCAGGTTATGTGATTTCCCTTTACTTCTGTTTTTAAGAATCTGTTAAACTAGTTGACAAAATGTGTTCCCTTATGCTTTCCGTTGTAACTTAGGACGACTTGCCTAACAGTAGTGATGAGAAATAATTGTCAGTTCAGCTGCTTTACAAATATTTAAGTAAGAAAGTATAGAATTTCATCACTTTTCCTTCCATAAAGTTAGTTTTGATTTTTAATATCTGTGTATTATGTATCCTTTTTTCTCCCCTCATTTCATTGCATTCAAGCACATTTTAATGAATACCTTAGAAATGCTGAATCACTGTGCAATTCTCATGGATTCCTAGATTGGGGGTAGAGGTAGAGAGAGAAATTTGTAGATAGGGGCTGCAAAGCAGAACTCCATATTTATTTCATAATAAATGAAAGGTCTTATTACTTAACATCTATGAAAGTTTAAATGTTTATTAACCCTTTTAAAATTGGTGAGTTGAAAAGTAGGTATGCATAGCACTTCTGTAATACTAGTGTTTCTGAAAAGGCTTAAAGTTTTCTTTGTCAGAGATTGTTTAGGAATCTTTCTATCTCCAGATAGGTTGATATATAACTTACTGTCCACATTGCACCATTTTTGAGAGTGAAAGTGGGCATACTTAATAATTATGCCAGAATAACAGGCATAAACCAACATGGACCAGAGCAGATGGAGAATCTGGTCACCTCAGATCTCAATAGTCATGTTCCTTGATTTTTGGTGCTTGCCCAAGGTCAAGTTTCTTTATAGACAGTTTTACTTTCTGATAACTTGGTATAAGTTTTTTCTTACTAGCTAGGAAGTCAGTTTACTACAATGCAGAAGTTTTAGGGTCTGAAATGAAAAACTTCAGCTTTGTTACCAAGACTTACCTTCTTCATTTGTAGAGACTTTTACAAGCATAAAAGGAATTTAGGATTACTAAACATAAGCATTTTATTAACCATTAATGAATACATTAATAAAATGGACCATACATTTAAAAGAAAGAAATTTAGAAACAATTTAGATTCATTGATTTTGAGATAATCCTATGAGGCAGTTCTTAAGAAATGTAATGAACCTGTGGGCAAGGAGAAGTAACTTTCCCTCTACCTTTCCAGGTTCTTGGAGACACACCCTGAAATAAATGATAGATTAACAGGAGAAAAACAAACAAATTTAATAACATGCATACCTCCTGTATACATGGAAGAGACCCAGTAAAACTGAGTAACTCTCCAAAATGGCCCAAACCATCACATTAAATACCATCTCCAGCTAAAGATAATAGATATTGGGGGACAGGAAACAGTTATGGGCAGTTACTAGGAAGAGCAAAGTAAACCAGGGTATGTTTGTAATGCAGATTTAAGTCTTGTTCTTCTCCACTGATAAGACTTTCTAGGGGTTTTAGCATCATCCTTCTCTTCCTGATAGAGGGGGAAGACACCCTTTCAAATGGGGATTTCTTATAAATGAAAATGTCTCTTAAAAAAGGATAACTTATATTCCATTTTCAGAGCTTCTCCTGTGTTCTGCTGCTTCTTAAAAATAATCTGCCTAAAATAATCTTTATGCCTGACAGGCGTATTTTGGGGTGGTATATTCTCCTTCCCCTCAAACCTTCTCTGAAACTTTCCTTTAGTTAAAAATTACTTGCCCATATCCTACTACCTTAGGGTTCTTTTCTGTTTCAGGTGAGAAGGGATGGAAGAGGTACCCTATGCGTAGCACAGGGGGTGAAGGGAGATGAGAGTCATCTCTTTTGAGTTTAGTTGGCCTGCACTGGCTTCATCTTTTGTTACCTTCCCAACTGCATTGGGGGCTGGAGCTGCTGTATCACATAAAAATATATATGCAGATTATGACTTCTGAATGAGGAGGCACATGTCACCCACACAGGGTGGGCATGGAGTTTCCTTAGCATCCGAGCGGTCCTCCACCCACTTTGCGAGGGAGCAGGAGATAGAGAGCAGAGTGGTAAGCACCTATTATTTGTAAGGTGGTTGGGGATGAAGGTCACTAACTTTTCCCGCCGGCTTAACTCTAAGTGGTTATTTTAAAAGGTGCCCCTAGAAAAGCAAAGCGGGAACTTAATGATGAGAATCCTAATGCAAATCCTTATCTAAATGTCCTGACACAGGGTGAGCAGGGTCATCATACTGTAAAATGCCTAGGCAGCAACTAGAAAAACAAAACTTTTTCTCATCACAATTGGCCCTTTGATGCCTAGGGAACATCTTTAGGGAAAATCATAGGCACTGCCTGGATAGTGGAAGTATTAAAAGCCACTGGCAGGGTTTTGGTCACCCACTACATGAAATATTTGAGCAATGCAAAAATGCCAATCAACAAAATCAGTAGACCCATGATAGTTTGAAATCCTGTCCATGATCATCCCTCCCATTTGTTGGAGGGTAGCCAAGAATATAAATCTAAGCCCTGGGATAAAGTTAAGGTAGGTATTTGATTAAGAACTTGGGTGAGATTATGCAATACTTGAGCCTGTTGGGCCATCTTTTGTAAGTTTGTCTGAATTTGTCCAGAATTATTAATAGACATGCAGCAGGTGGTGGTGCCCTTAGAGTGCACACACCTTCCTTGGCCAATCAGTAATCCAAAGCTGAATGGTTATCCCAAATTATCTGTGTTAAAGAGTCATGTTGCATTAAGGCTAAATGTTGGTGTAATAGCCCAGTATGTTCAGCCAGGGCAGCTGGCAGGGTGGTGTCAGTCTTAATAATTTGGCATTGTGTGTCCAGTGCCGGGCGCCTAGCTCAGTCCCTGTGAGGGATAGTAGCACCTGCTCCCAATGTGATGTGGATGAATACTGCAGGCTTTCAATTTTTGGGGGCAGAAAAAAAGAGATGGATTGGGGATCCTGTTCAGTGATTTTAAGGTTAGTCTCAGGGGAACTAAAGTACCCTGATATGGGCAGACAGGACTCCCGGGCCCAGCATGTGGGCAGATGCATTCAAGTTT